ATGTCACATTTACAAGTTTACACAGTGCCATGTTCAGTTCATTCCTTAGGCAAGGGCTTCATTGATGAGTGATCTTTTTGTGTCAGTCATGACGATCTCCTCCCCGCTAATCAACTTCATGTTTACTGTGAAGAGAATTTGCACCCCAACACCAAACACAGGGAGAAGAGCCTCACGAAACTCTACATCAGCCTTTGCTAGAACAACCTCCCTGTCCAGATCGATAAAGGCGAGTCTACCCTTCCCAACATCCAGCACAACTCCATAGTGGAGGGTGGCCTGTGTGCCGGGTGTGTCAGACATTGTGTTACTGTAACACTCCCCCCCCTCCCCCTCCTTCCACACCCTGGTACAGATACTCCCCAAGTGTGTGGTGCAGCTCCTTACAATGACACACCAGGAGCGGCGCTGTGCATAAACATACCTCCCACTGTCCACCTGGCTCTCCTCCACTACACCCATCTCCAGGGTAGGGAACCCAATTTGTGCACTCAGCACACCCACCCTGGAGTGGGTTTCCCAGTATCGTGGTGTGTTGGGGGCAGGGGTGACACTAGAGGGGGGTGGATCAAGTGGGATGGGGGTGGAGGTACACGTGCCCACATACACCTGTAGCCTGCCCCTGTCCGTGGGTCGCATGGGTTGCCGTGAGTTGACCAGCTCACCGTCTGTAGTTACATGGCACCAGCATGTGTTGGCTTGAGCAGCGCCGAGTTGGAGTTTAGGACCTGGAAATATACATGTAGATGTTATTTGTAGTTTAGCAATTGCACTTACTACAATGAATCATTTTGTTTATGAGTTTTGTTTCAATGATTCCAAAAAGCGCTATAATTGATCGGCTGCCATTTTCATCTGCCTACGAATTTAATGATAACTGTACTCTTAATTTAAATAATAACGCTGTGAAACAAATACATGCTTTTTTAGATACCTTTTTACAAAGTTGCATTTGATCTTCTTTGCTGTGACTAATAGACTCCAACTGCCGAATTATGTAAATGTTTCAAAGTTATTTCACGATTAAACTATCATTATAGGGATTCAAAACTCTAAGTATACATAATAGTAAAGACTGAGATAGACAAAAGTGATGTTTCGTGATATTTTTACATTTGAGTGTTCAACAGACACAGTGGTAACTTCTACGGCCGCTTCAGTCACTGAACACAGTTTAAGCGCACTCGCTGGGCGGGTAGTTTTTCACGTCAAGTGTATTGACTGGGATAAGTATTTGTGAATGATTTGTATAAACAGTTATATTATTATTATGACATTGCATAACGTATCCATTGTTGACGGATAATCCCGGACTAATTCACACTAATTCCATCTGGCAATATTCCAGCAATATCACGGCGGGGGACACCAGAAATGGGCTTCACACATTGTACCCATGTCGGGATTCAAACCCTGGTCTTCGGCGTGATGAGCGAACGCTTTAACCACTAGGCTACCCGACCGCCCCCCATCTGGTATGTGATAATGGTGGCTTACATTCATCTGAAACCTACCTTATCCTGCTGATGAAGATTAAAATTTAAATACGGGCTACTCCCTATTCCCCAATCGATGTGTGTTTAAATAATTAAATGGAATTTTAAAGTCGGTAAACCATTTTGATTATTGATTAACCAAAATGACAATTCTTGTCAAAATTCCTCAGTAAACATGGACATGATTCTGTACCTTTTATCTATGAAATGTCATTCTTATTTCGGCCAAAAACACAGCTGTTATTAAGAAATAGACAATTACTATGTTATCAGAGAAAAAGGCACTTACACATGTTTCACATCAACAACCTTCCACCACCTAAGAAATCACCATCAAAGTTACATGTATATTTGTTTTTGTACATTGAGTGAGTGAGTGAGTAATTATGGTTTAACACCGCTTTTAGCAATATTCCAACAATATCATGGCAGGGGACACCAGACATGGGTTTCACACATTGTACCCATGTCTGGAATCGAACCCGGTCTTCAGCGTGACGAGCGAATGTATGTACATAGTAAATGTGATTCACATGAGTGAATATTGTAAATACGCCACTTTTAGCAATATTCCAGCAATATCACGGTGAGGGACTCCAGAAATGGAATTCACATACACATTGCACACATGTGGGGAATCGAACCCTCATCTTTGACGTGACGATCAAACTGGCCTACCTCACCTCTATATGAGGTGCTTCTATAAAAAAGCTGAACTTTTACAAGTGTTACATATGTGGTGGTAGACTTAAAAATAATAAACATAATAAAAACAAACACACACAAGGAGTAAACGCAAACTGGCTAGGACACTGCTTATTGTGTTGTCACACATGTGTGATAGCACCTCAAAACAATAAAAATCAATAAAAAAATCAAAGAAGTGCAAAGGTCAAGTTGGCTGGTTGGCTATCACTGTCGTAACTGGAAATGGCTGCACAAATGGGAAGTAATGCCTTGTCAATTATATGATTTTTTAGCCTTTGTTTTGACATCCTTAATTTCCCCGATAATGTCGAGGTCATGATAGATTAGCTCCAGCTTATGACGTCTACATTTCCCGGTTGTTTGGGTAATGAAGTGAGGATGTCAGATTATTCACGTTTTGTGGAAAGACACATTGCGTTTACATCTAATCTTTTTTTTATCAAGGACTAACCCTCACAGGCTTGGTCAAGACAATTCAGATATCCTATGATAGACGTTCAGAGGAATTTACCAAATATGACACGCTAAGTGTTGAAAGATGCGCGACACTGTTTCCTACTATGACCTCTTTGGGGAGTGTTCACACATCCCCACACACTGACATTCACCTGACTAGATAGGTTGGTCATGCTTGGGGACGTGGACGTCTTACCCCGATAGCGTGGGTCATTGTTCATGATACTGATCACTGGATTGTCTTGGCAGGACTCGATTGTTTACAGGCCGCATTCGTATGGGAGGAGTATTGTTGGGTGCGGCGTTAGGAAAAACACAAAAACATGTTATTCTTGTAAAAATTGCCGGGTGCCACTGGTAGAGCGGGACGTCCATTTTCGCAGAAACTTGGTGTCATCAACTAATTTACAGTGATTCGGTCACATACTTTTTCATCACTATCTTGCCTTTACTGCCGTATATAATATGTTTCTGTAGAAAATCAAGTCTGAATATTCTCATAACGATTTGAATTGTATGCTTGGAGCCAATTTCTTTAAGCGAGTAAGTGAATATGGTTTTACACAGCTTAGAATTATTCCAGCAATAACACGACTGGGAACACCAGACATGGCCACACACAGTGAACCTGCATGGACACTTGACACAGAATGTGGGGAAACCTGATTGCAGTTTTCGCTCAGCCGATATAAACAATATTTGTGAGTTTCGACCACATTGTCTTTTCATCATACACCATTGATTTGTGCTACCTATCAATGTTTTCTTGTGTTTCACCCAGCTCACCTCCTGCCATACTACACTACAGCTTTCTACCGTTCTGGAAGATGCTCCCACAGAAAACATTCATGTATGAGAACACCCATACGATTGCAAAACTGGAAAGTACAACTGCTGGAGTGGTAGTGGAGTAGCCTTGTGTTTAAAGGGTTACCTTGTTCATGTCGGGTTTGACTCCCAACAAGGGTTGAATATGTGAAGCCCATTCCATGTGTTCCCAGCCATGATTAATCCCTTATCCCTCACTACAACTGCTGGAGGTACAAGCTTCCAACACGTGACTTGTTTTAATCCCTTTAGTATGAACCTTTTTATTTACATTTACATGTTCCATTAACGTCATGGACGTCTGGTCATTATAAAGTCGCATCCAGCACACCGGTGATTGATAACACGTACTACGATCAACGCCGGTGACACACGATGGTAATACAGGTAATACACATTGTAAGCAACTGACTTTATAAGTGGTTTTGTATGCTAGAAACTATTGCTTAACCCAATTGCCTAATAAACATGAACTACGATAAAAAAAATACTTACAGATGATGAATATGACACTTCTGTTCTTGCTGATGATGTGAATTGCACCTGAGTACCCTGCAAAATATAGTTTTCATTGTAATACATGATTTTGGCACATTTGTCTCTGAATACTATTCTCACAGATGATCACGACAAGCATAGTAAAGTGCGAGTGAGTCTTACACTGTTGTTGAAAAGAGCAAACATGCATATGGTTCTTTGAAGCCAAAACCATGAATCTAGGTTCTGGTCGAATCTAGGATTTGAATCCATGATACTAAGTTCAGAGGATCATGGCACGATTAAGGGGTGCAAATGTACACAAACAAATGTCGACATGGGCAGCACAGGGCCAAACATCAGATGGGAAGCACACAAGTGAAGCTAGTTTACTCATTTTTCCTTTTATTGTGCAGTGAACTTCATTAACTCATCAAGATAAAACTTCCTAATAACTATGTATTTTCTGATATGCCAGAAGCAACGATTTTAAAATGTAACATGTATAATGAAAATTATCCAAACGAAAGAGGTCATGCATTTCCGAGGCCTCGCCGTATCATTACATGTTATCATTTGACAATAGCAAGGACGTTTGATGTAACCAGTTGTGGTATGTGGCGTACAGTATCGCTCACTTAACAGAAGGAACTGTTTGCTATACATAACTGCTATGGGTCATGTATCCGTCACCTGGAAATCTAGTAAACTGGTGACATCTTACAACTTGACTATAACTGACATTCGAGATATAGTTTCGACTAAATAACTAAATCCCATATCGTGTAGTACCTACCTCTCAATAATAAACCACGTGTAGGCGACTCAGAAATGATGGATGCTCCGAGTATGAACTGAAAACATATTATTAATAAGCTTGACACATTATGTAAGTTCTATGTATAAATCTAAATACGTTTCTTGGCTAGACAATTTTGAATGATTTCCTTTTTTTCTATACTTCGCAGTTTACATTTTGAGGGGGTGGGGGTTGTTTGTCATTTAACGTACACGTGTGACAACTTCATAAGCTTCCTGTGGTGTCAGCTGTTGAGGTCGGAGATCCTGTGGTGTCAGCTGTTGAGGTCGGAGATCCTGTGGTGTCAGCTGTTCAGGTCGGAGTCCCTGTGATGTCAGCTGTTCATGTCGGAGATCCTGTGGTGTCAGCTGTTCAGGTTGGAGTCCCTGTGATCCATCTCGACTTGTAGCAGAACCTGTTGGTAGATAAATGTATTGGATTTCAATAATTAATCTAACTAAAGTCTTATTATTTACTGTTTTTATATAAACAGAAAGTGAGTCTTGAATTGATACACTGAATACATTGATATTCTATATTAAAGTTCGAAGGTTAGTGTAGTTTATTTGGTATTTAATCTGCTTTCCCTGACCTACATCCAGGTGTTATATTGTACCTGTGATGCGACGGATCATCTCCCCAAGCTGATGCCACCGCTCTTCATGTACCTGAAACAACATCGCAGACACCATAGAGATCAGAACATAACCTTGGCTCACACAATAGCTATGTATCATATCATACCACATATATTATTTATTTATCGACTGCATGTAACATTTAGCTATGTGGGTGTTATGAACGATGTGCAGCTTCGTGTTGATTAACATATGTTTTACTCACAATTTGAGTCATGTATGTACTCAATGTAAAGAGCCATTGAAACCCTTTCTTAGAAAACATGTTAATAAAAACAAAATTCTGTTACGAAAGCAATATATTACCACGCTGGTTTCTTCTTTTAATGCCAGCTGTATATTCTGTGTATGGAGATCTGAAGAGAAAATGACAAACACAGATTGATTACCTTATTGGTAACAGTTTTCCTCTAACCCCGCGTACATTCGGACAGGCAAACAGATAGACAGAGAGACAGACAAATAATATTTTCTCGTCTCACCTCAGATATAATACAAGTCAAATATAATAAGATTCGACTACATTAAAACTGGGCGAATGTACATGAAATAGCAAGATACTTTTGAATCGATTAATAAAGGTATTGAGGCATGCAAGATAAAATAACTTAAATTATACCCAAAACACTTAGCTATGATATAGGATATTGTTCCTAAAGTCCACGATCAGTGTTCCGGTTTTGGCATTAAGTTTATACAATGTAGGGCATCACAAAATAAAACACAACTTCTCTGCTCTGTAATAAAAAAATCCCATGATTTGAAATTTTTGTAAACAGATATTCCCTAAAGTCGTTATATAAAGGACAGCTTATGAACATGTGTAATTCATTTCCTACTACATTTTGACGGGGAAAACATGTTCCCTTTGCTGGTGGGTTACAATATCGGCCAGTTGCAACACGGATAGGGGCATATATAAGATGGAGTGTCCCTTTGTTAAATATACCTGCTTCAAGGACCTCCTCTCTTACATGTACCCTGTCTAGGGACTGTGACCTCGGAACCCCCAATACAGCATCATATGCCTTCTCTTCCTCTTGTAGTCTCTGAAACGACAGTTATCACTGCATCACGGACATGTATCTTGTTATGAAGATATTACGTGTTAATTTATTTCCATTTAGTTTAGAAGCTGTGCAAAATAACACCTTCAACATCTAAGTTGATCCAATCTCACCTTCTCCAATGTTGCACATTTTGCTCGAATCTGTAGCAACTCATCATTTGCCTTTGACAATTTTGTTTTCACTGAAACAAGAAAAATGCATGGATAGCCTCAGATAACAGTTTTATGTGTCAACATTCCGGACATTGCATGGCAGGTCCATTGAAAATATGGAATTAGTATATTTCCAGAAATGATACAATGTAGTTGTTTATCATAGACAGGTCATTGGAACCCAGGATGTTCCATTACCACCATGAACACTGGCAAAATATGAACACGCAATGCCATTTAGCAAGTGATCAAATGTTTTATTTGTGATAACTCTTTCTTAGTTAAGTGCAGATTCTCGTATTTTTTTAAGTTGAGTCCTATCCGGCAGTGGCAGTGTGGGTTCGAATCCCAGATGGGACTCAACCTTAAACAAGTACGAGAATCTTTACTTCACTAAGAAAGTGTTATACCAAATATAACATTTGTTACTGGCAACATAAGCAAAATCAAAATTGTGGATGGAAGCGATATTGAACTATATATTATTTATGTCAGATTACCAGCTTCAACTTCCTCATTTTTCTTTTCTATCTGTGTTGTGAGATCCCCTCTTTCTTTTATACGTTGTTCTTCCAGTTCAGCATAGTCTGTGTCTTTTTGTTTAACTTGTTCCTCAAGTCTTTCCATTGCCTTAAAACAAACGCGAACGACCGTTTAAGAAGTTCATATCGACTGCATACACATGGACATATGGACAGTCTTAAAATTAGGTCTAAGGTTGTTTTGTACAACGGCACCCGGGAAATAATATTTATACTAATGTAGGTCACATGATGATAACATATCGACTTTCAAACAATAATATTTATTCTGGTCAGAATATACATATTTCCAGATTGGAAATGGACTACACATATAAAGCTAATATGAATGCATATACAGACATAAATAAATAATGTATAAAACAGTTACAGTTGTTTTAATTTATGCTTTATTGGATTCTTTTTACGATTTATATTCATACACAAATTAAAAATCAATTTGGGGACTTGAATGAATTGAATGTTTAAAATTTCAGTCCTTGATTTGTGTGTTGTAAAAAGTATCCCCCTGTGCAAAAATACTGAAATCAGGGACAATCCCATCCATATTTGCATGGACTGTGGCCACAACACCAAGGAAGCCCCAGGCCAGAACGTCATAGTGTAAGAATTTACAACTAACTACTATAATAATATGTGTATTAATAAATGTCATAAATCAAGATTGCATTATAATTAATTCTTTTTACTTTATTTATGAAACATTTATATTAAATCAGTATTATTTTGTTTGTAGTGTGAGGAGAACCTGGTTCCAGGAGGAGGTGTGATGGACATGAGGTTGAAGGGAATGATCATTCAACACAGAATGTGGGGTGTGAGGCACAATTTGAAATAAAGGAGATGCAGGTCCATGTTGAACAATGGGAGAACCATCTACTCAATAACCATCTGGCTCTTGAGAATTTTGGAGTATCAAGAACTAGAACTGACCCATTTCATGCAATATCATATTTCATTACTGACTGTGATACTTTCAAGTGATGTTTATATTTTGATCAACCCAGTGCCACCAAAATGTGTAGCATGTATTATGTTTGTTCTGACACTGTTTCCTTGGCTGGAAGACCCAGGACTATGCTGTTGACTGCACTGAAATAAAAATTCAAATCTCATCGGCCTTTGTCCTCAACTCAAAAGTTTTATACACTTTACAAAACTAGCCGCCCACTCTAAAGCCTGATTGGTATAGCCCCTCACGATGCTGTGAACTTTGTATCATGTTTGTCTACAGCTGGTATATCTGATGCTGAGATGACAAAGCTGTGAAGTGTTTGGTATTTTTCTTGATCTTGTACAGCCTGGTGATAGTGTCGGGGCAGACCAAGGCTTTACTTTTGCCACTACTTTGCACACAAGAAATAGTCTCCATATTGCCCCATTCCTATTTAACTGTAGTCAGCTTTCTGCTGAATAAATAGGAGAAATACAAACCATAACATCCTTGAGAGTCCATGTTGCAGAATTTTCAAAACTATCAATCAGCTGTGGACAGTTGCTTGATTATGGTTTTCCTTGCACACTCCTATAGAATTGTGCTAAAATTGCCTGTGAGAGATAAAAGTGTCAAATCGTTTGAGACGCAAATATTTTATTACACAATGTACATACCTTGTATTTAAACTGATGTCCATAGCACTGGATCGATCTGTCTGATGGCACAGAAACAGTTTGCTGTAGAAACCCTCACTTCAGATAAATCTGAAAAAATACATTGAAGTTGTGAAGAAAAACATGCAGATGTCAATTATATGAATGCAATTTAATAAGTGTTCAACTATTAAACACTTCAAACATTGTGCCGAGTCACTTTGACTTTTAAATTTTTATTTTTTTAAAATTTGCATTAACTGCATGGTCTGTTACCCAGAATTATTGTTGGAGTTTAATGTAACTTCCATACCTATTGATACAAATTAATTTGATTAATTGAACATGAATACGACATATTTATTTCATAGTCCTTACCTCTAAGTTATGTGGGATTTCACATGGGTCGGGCCACAGGAATAAAAAAAACATATTTAGATCTATAGCCCAAAACATTTGCATTTATGACGGTTGCAATAGCCTATACGTGACACAGTATAAACTATTACCTTAATAATAATCATATTTAATTAGATCTATAGACTACCGTAATACCCCAAAACACAAGAATAAAAATAAATAAAATATAGCGCTTACACACATTAAAGGGCTGGTTATCAGTCATTATGGCTGTCTTAGCCCATTCATCTTACGCCCATCAATATTACCCTCGCGTAACCTTGATTCATGGATATAAGGAAAGTACACCCAAATTCGTGGTTTAAATGTCCGATTTTGTTTTGTATACTCACTGATCATTTAATTCATCTATTAAACTATGAGAAAATGACGAAAATTCCACTCGTGACTGAAAAGTTTGTTTACCGAAGCCATTTGCATTCATCAGCCATTCATGTGCACACAAAATGTGACGTCACCTTGATTCGTGGATTACGTAGTAGATTATTGTATCGCTATGTACGAAAGCCCAGTACCGTTACTGTGTAATATTTTTTTATGAATTCGAATCTATACCTACCAGCATTTCTGTGTCGGCTGATAACAGTTGAAGAGCATAGTTATTTAACACACAACTCCAAAACGAATCTTGTCAATAAAGTTATGTACACTATTTACAGGTAAGTTTGTGTCCTCTTTCAGTCCTACTCTTCCGATGGTTTGCATGGCAGACCATGGCAAGGGCAATAAAACGTGTCATGCGTCCGAAGCACGCGCACAGGACAACAATACTGTAAGTGCACCAAGTGGTTACAGTCATGATACATGCACTGCCCCCATTGTACGAAAAACAGTGATGTGCATTGGGCCAGTTCAGCGGGCTGAAAGTGATGACACACGCAACCATGGCGAATCCTCACTGTCACTGCTGTATAGTAGATTAATCGCACCGGATGGTCCCGCTGCTGGCTCGGTGGTACTTTTATGTTTCTTTTGAGATTGTTTAGCTGATGTATGTGACTTTGCTGGTCGTTACTTGGTTTGTACTGGCTGTTTAGAAGTTGAACTTTTAACATAGTTTTAACTTGAATTTCTATCCTGGTTCAGTTATGGCTTTGCCGCTAACGATCTTGTGGATAGATCTACGTGGTTTTCTTTGCTTCTTCTGAATGACGGGAAGCTGGTCAACAAAGAATTGGGTTTGGTCAAAGTTAGTGACGAGATTTTCCTTCTCAACGTTAGGGTTGGAACGTGGGCTGTGTACGTCGTCAGTAGCTGGTACTTGCTGCGACTTGTCTTCAACGTGTGATGCGTGGATAAAAGCAGCTGGTTGGAATGCAGATTTATCAATCATATCTGGCCATAAGGGATAGATTCCAGACCTTCTGAATGCCGACTGCAAGTGACCAGGCGTTAAAGCAGCAGAATATGCCCTGCAGGCTAGGGAGGCGATGTTATATCTGTTGACTGTGGTACCATCAGACTTCAACAGCTTGTGACCTTCGGCATTGTAGATTTTTGTAAACGGACCGAAACATCCCACGTCCATTGGCTGCAAAATATGACTTGTGTGAGCCGGGAGGACCATCAGACTTCAACAGCTTGTGACCTTCGGCATTGTAGATTTTTGTAAACGGACCGAAACATCCCTAGTCCATTGGCTGCAAAATATTGTGTGAGCCGGGAGGACAAACAACACAATATTGTGATCTTTTGCCCAGTCTATCAGAGATGGAGAATTGTGCGACTTGTGGCCATCGTACAGAAGAAGCAAAGGTCTATTCGGCGTTGCTGGAGTTGCATATGGAAGGAAATGCCTGTCCAAAAAATCTTGGAATATAACAACATTTGACCATCCCGATTCAGAAACAGTTCCGTCATTTCCCGCTGTACAGCCTTCAAGCAATTCACTGCGCATTCTAGCACCCGGAAATACAAAGAAAGGTGGAATAAATGTGCCCAGAGCATTTCCACATCCCAAAAGTGTGACGACAGACGATCTCTCCGAAGAAATCTCGTAGGCCTCGGAATTTCTTGAGCCAACAATTTTCGGTGCTACATGGGACTGGTTGATTCCTTTCTCGTCTACGTTATCAATTGCTTCTGGTCTTGATTGGAAACCGTATTTGTCCATAATTATGGCAAGTTCATCAAAATATTTGTTTATGCATTCCTCTGAACTAGCTTTGGCACGAAGTTCCGTGAGAGACTTGGCACTTCTAACTTTCAACTCCGGCCATCGCTCCAACAGACCATATAACCACTTGACAGATAATGGATGGGACAGGTCACGTTTTCCTAACTGACAAGCAAAGTTAGACCCTAATTGGACAACCTCTTTCCTGGTATATCCGTATCCGATGGATGCCATGTATGTTACATGGTCAACAAGTCTAGTTTCCTGCTCCGCATAAAAAATTGGAGTTGCACCTGACATGACAGTGTCAACATTGATCTTGCCTTTTATCCTGTCTCTCAGTGTTTGCTCGGGTACAGAGAAGTTTAATGCCGCTCTATGAACTGCAACTTTATTGTTTTTGACTTCCAAGTAAGCATTAGTCAAAGCTGTAGGCGAATAACTTTTGTATCCCTGTCGCGAAGGCGTCGGTGAACCCTATGAAAATGAAAAAAAAAGCTATACGAGATGGCCCGAAAATGTTTCCATAGATTAATAATTTTAACAGACGGCAGCACCTCAAGTCACGTGATTTATGTTTATTGACATCTAGACAAGCAGACGACGAGAGATGAGAAGGGTGGTGCTTACGGTATATATTTTATTTGATGTTTTGTAAATATGAAATTTGGTATTAGTGATCTAGGGCTATTTATCTCAGTGTTGGACATTTGGTTTTTCTGTACTTACGTGTAATGCAGCGATTCGGAACATTTTTGTCACCAAGGCGTGGCAGTGTGTGTACATCAAAAGTACCGCTGTGTGACGAGATATCACGATAATTACCGCGATCCACGAATCAAGGTTATCCACGAATTTAGGTAACGGTTCTGTAGTTCAAAACAACAGCATATGCCATGAAAGGTAACGTGACCTGTCAAAGTGGTAATTGTTATTTAGTGTAAAAGAACACTATACGTACTTTTAATACTGTTGATGAACCCATCGCTGTTGTAATGGAATCCCTTGTTCAACGGGGAACTCCTCGCGCTCTTAGATTGACTTTGAACGAAATTCTTGACGAAGCTGAACGAGACATGAGACGAGCGATAAATCACTTCCGGGTGTTTGCTCTGCCGCCATGCGGGGAAAACCTCGTTTTGGAGTTTGACCTTGGGGTCATGCATAAATATTAAGAGAGGTCTATAGGTTTTGAGTCCTCTTGACGTTGTCTTTGGCCATACATAAAAGAGCATTGGCTTAATAGAAGGTCTGAAATGAGTTTGTTGGAGTAGGTCTCATCATTTCGGCCTAGGCTTTCAGAAGCTTGTGAAGTTGTGGTAAGAATAACTTGAAGGAATACCAGGACGAAATGAAAGTACATTATGACAAGAGAGACATTTTAGTCCTGGCGATAAAGTCTCAGTGTTTTTGCTAATTCAAGGACAACCATTATGTGCTAGGTACAATGGTCCGTATGTTATTTGACAGAAAAGTCAGTGATACTGACAATGTTGTACAAACACCAGACCGTCTGCCCCTCTCATTCACTCCAGTCTGTGCTGCCCCTCTCATTCACTCCAGCCTGTGCTGTCCCTCTCATTCACTCCAGCCTGTGGTGCCCCTCATTCACTCCAGCCTGTGGTGCCCCTCTCATTCACTCCAGCCTGTGGTGCCCCTCATTCACTCCAGCCTGTGGTGCCCCTCTCATTCACTCCAGTCGGTGCTGCCTCTCTCATTCACTCCAGTCGGTGCTGCCCCTCTCATTCACTCCAGTCGGTGATGTCCTTCTCATTCACTCCAGTTTGTGCTGTCCCTCTCATTCACTCCAGCCTGTGCTGCCCCTCTCATTCACTCCAGTTTGTGCTGTCCCTCTCATTCACTCCAGTCGGTGATGTCCTTCTCATTCATTCCAGCCTGTGCTACCCCTCTCATTCACTCCAGTCGGTGCTGCCCCTCTCATTCACTCCAGTCTGTGCTGTCCTTCTCATTCACTCCAGCCTGTGCTACCCCTCTTATTCACTCCAGTCGGTGCTGTCCCTCTCATTCACTCCAGGCGGTGCTGTCCCTCTCATTCACTCCAGCCTGTGCTGTCCCTCTCATTCACTCCAGTCTGTGCTGTCCCTCTCATTCACTCCAGTCTGTGCTTCCCCTCTCATTCACTCCAGTCTGTGCTGTCCCTCTCATTCACTCCAGTCTGTGCTGCCCCTCTCATTCACTCCAGTCGGTGCTGTCCCTCTCATTCACTCCAGGCTGTGCTGTCCCTCTCATTCACTCCAGTCTGTGCTGCCCCTCTCATTCACTCCAGTCGGTGCTGTCCCTCTCATTCACTCCAGTCTGTGCTGCCCCTCTCATTCACTCCAGTCGGTGCTGTCCCTCTCATTCACTCCAGCCTGTGCTGCCCCTCTCATTCACTCCAGCCTGTGCTGTCCCTCTCATTCACTCCAGCCTGTGCTGTCCCTCTCATTCACTCAAGTCTGTGCTGCCCCTCTCATTCACTCCAGTCGGTGATGTCCTTCTCATTCACTGCAGTCTGTGCTGCCCCTCTCATTCACTCCAGCCTGTGCTGTCCCTCTCATTCACTCCAGTCTGTGCTGTCCTTCTCATTCACTCCAGTCGGTGCTGCCCCTCTCATTCACTCCAGCCTGTGCTGCCCCTCTCATTCACTCCAGCCTGTGCTGTCCCTCTCATTCACTCCAGCCTGTGCTGTCCTTCTCATTCACTCCAGCCTGTGCTGTCCTTCTCATTCACTCCAGTCTGTGCTGTCCTTCTCATTCACTCCAGTCGGTGCTGCCCCTCTCATTCACTCCAGCCTGTGCTGCCCCTCTCATTCACTCCAGCCTGTGCTGCCCCTCTCATTCACTCTAGTCGGTGCTTCTCCTCTCATTCACTCCAGCCTGTGCTGCCCCTCTCATTCACTCCAGTCTGTGCTGTCCCTCTCATTCACTCCAGTCTGTGCTGTCCCTCTCATTCACTCCAGTCTGTGCTGTCCCTCTCATTCACTCCAGTTTGTGCCGCCCCTCTCATTCACTCCAGTTTGTGCTGTCCCTCTCATTCACTCCAGTTTGTGCTGTCCCTCTCATTCACTCCAGCCTGTGCTGCCCCTTTCATTCACTCCAGTCTGTGCTGATCCTCTTATTCACTCCAGTTTGTGCTGTCCCTCTCATTCACTCCAGCCTGTGCTGCCCCTCTCATTCACTCCAGCCTGTGCTGTCCCTCTCACACTCCAGCCTGTGCTGTCCTTCTCATTCACTCCAGCCTGTGCTGTCCTTCTCATTCACTCCAGTCTCTGCTGTCCTTCTCATTCACTCCAGTCTGTGCTGTCCCTCTCATTCACTCCAGTCGGTGCTGCCCCTCTCATTCACTCCAGCCTGTGCTGCCCCTCTCATTCACTCCAGTCTGTGCTGTCCTTCCCATTCACTCAAGTTTGTGCTGTCCCTCTCATTCACTCCAGCCTGTGCTGCCCCTCTCATTCACTCCAGTTTGTGCTGCCCCTCTCATTCACTCCAGCCTGTGCTGTCCCTCTCATTCACTCCAGTCTGTGCTGCCCCTCTCATTCACTCCAGTCTGTGCTGTCCCTCTCATTCACTCCAGTCTGTGCTGTCCCTCTCATTCACTCCAGTTTGTGCCGCCCCTCTCATTCACTCCAGTTTGTGCTGTCCCTCTCATTCACTCCAGTTTGTGCTGTCCCTCTCATTCACTCCAGCCTGTGCTGCCCCTTTCATTCACTCCAGTCTGTGCTGATCCTCTTATTCACTCCAGTTTGTGCTGTCCCTCTCATTCACTCCAGCCTGTGCTGCCCCTCTCATTCACTCCAGCCTGTGCTGTCCCTCTCACACTCCAGCCTGTGCTGTCCTTCTCATTCACTCCAGCCTGTGCTGTCCTTCTCATTCACTCCAGTCTCTGCTGTCCTTCTCATTCACTCCAGTCTGTGCTGTCCCTCTCATTCACTCCAGTCGGTGCTGCCCCTCTCATTCACTCCAGTCGGTGATGTCCTTCTCATTCACTCCAGTTTGTGCTGCCCCTCTCATTCACTCCAGCCTGTGCTGCCCCTCTCATTCACTCCAGTCTGTGCTGTCCCTCTCATTCACTCCAGCCTGTGCTGTTCCTCTCATTCACTCCAGTCGGTGATGTCCTTCTCATTCACTCCAGTCGGTGATGTCCTTCTCATTCACTCCAGTTTGTGCTGCCCCTCTCATTCACTCCAGTTTGTGCTGCCCCTCTCATTCACTCCAGCCTGTGCTGCCCCTCTCATTAACTCCAGCCTGTGCTGCCCCTCTCATTAACTCCAGCCTGTGCTGCCCCTCTCATTCACTCCAGTCTGTGTTGCCCCTCTCATTCACTCCAGTTTGTGCTGTCCCTCTCATTCACTCCAGTCGGTGATGTCCTTCTCATTCACTCCAGTCGGTGATGTCCTTCTCATTCACTCCAGTTTGTGCTGCCCCTCTCATTCACTCCAGTTTGTGCTGCCCCTCTCATTCACTCCAGCCTGTGCTGCCCCTCTCATTAACTCCAGCCTGTGCTGCCCCTCTCATTCACTCCAGTCTGTGTTGCCCCTCTCATTCACTCCAGTTTGTGCTGTCCCTCTCATTCACTCCAGCCTGTGCTGCCCCTCTCATTCACTCCAGTCTGTGTTGCCCCTCTCATTCACTCCAGTCTGTGCTGCCCCTCTCATTCACTCCAGTCTGTGCTGCCCCTCTCATTCACTCCAGCCTGTGCTGCCCTTCTCATTCACTCCAGTTTGTGCTGTCTCTCTCATTCACTCCAGTTTGTGCTGTCCCTCTCATTCACTCCAGCCTGTGCTGTCCCTCTCATTCACTCCAGCCTGTGCTGTCCCTCTCATTCACTCCAGCCTGTGCTGTCCTTCTCATTCACTCCAGTCGGTGATGTCCTTCTCATTCACTCCAGTCTGTGCTGTCCTTCTCATTCACTCCAGTCTGTGCTGTCCCTCTCATTCACTCCAGTCGGTGCTGCCCCTCTCATTCACTCCAGTCGGTGATGTCCTTCTCATTCACTCCAGTTTGTGCTGCCCCTCTCATTCACTCCAGTCTGTGCTGTCCCTCTCATTCACTCCAGTCGGTGCTGCCCCTCTCATTCACTCCAGTCGGTGATGTCCTTCTCATTCAATCCAGCCTGTGCTGCCCCTCTCATTCAATCCAGCCTGTGCTGCCCTTCTCATTCACTCCAGTCGGTGATGTCCTTCTCATTCACTCCAGTCGGTGATGTCCTTCTCATTCACTCCAGTTTGTGCTGCCCCTCTCATTCACTCCAGTTTGTGCTGCCCCTCTCATTCACTCCAGTTTGTGCTGTCCCTCTCATTCACTCCAGCCTGTGCTGTCCCTCTCATTCACACCAGCCTGTGCTGCCCTTCTCAGTTATTTCACGATAAAACTATCATTATAGGGATTCTAAACTCTAAGTATACATAATAGTAAAGACTGAGATAGACAAAAGTGCTGTTTCGTGATATTTTTACATCGGAGTGTTCAACAGACACAGTGGTAACTTCTACGTCCGCTTCAGTCACTGAACACAGTTTATGCGCACTCGCTGGGCGGGGAGTTTGTCAAGTGTATTGACAGGGATAAGAATGTGTGAATGAATTGTATAGACAGTCATATTATTATTATGACATCGCATAATGTATCCACTGTTGACGGACAATCCAGGACTAATTCACACTTATTCCATCTGGTATATGATAATGGTGACTTACATTCATCTGAAACCTACCTCATCCTGCTGATGAAGGAAAAGTCATCAAACCCGGCCCAAAGTTTCACAAAATATGAAACAGAATAAAATTTTAATACAGGCTTCTCCATATTCCCCCACCGAATGTGTTTAAATAATTTAGTTAGTGGAATTTCAAAGTCGGTAACCTTTTTCATTATTGATAACCAAAATGACAATTCTTGTCAAAATTCCTCAATAAACATGGACACGATT